CGTTTCCACTCATAAAAAGGTCTAATCCAGGAAAGAACACGAGTAGCTGGTCCATTATTCTAATCCAGCAGACCTAAAACACTCTGTGCTTTCAGTTTTTCATCGTTACCTTAAAGTCACTCTTCATTTTCCCCCTTTATCCAGGCACAGCCCAATAAAACAAAGATGTCAGTAAATATCCTATGATCCAAGTGCCACAGAACTGCTCCCCAAGCAAAGCTGTGAAGTTTCTAACCTGACGTGTTTCGACTAGGATTTTAGCACACTAACAAGCTCAGCTTTGAGAAAATGAACAAATAAGGTTTATTGAAAGAGACACATTTGTTAATTTATCCGAGGGGAGCACAAGTTCACTGCCACCCATTGCTTTGCCTCTCCATTCCCTTTTCCTTCCTAGGGCTGGTAAATGAAACCTACATGAGAGGAAATGATTCACACAAGCAGCTAGAAAGGCAAGACAGTAGGAGATTTCCTAAACTAATACAATTTACTGCAGTAACTAGAGTCATGGCTGGTATTTCAAAGCCATTCCAGTGTTGCTGGGTCCTTACAGGACCGTTGGCTGTTAACTGCATTGCGAAGTTCCAGCACTGAACCAACCCCACAAGTCAGATGAAGATCATATGGCTGCAGACTCCAGGAAACAAACATGGGATGGGGTTCAAGGGTCTGGGGATGAGCTTAAGACCTTCTGACCTCTTGGTTACCTGGGTAGGGCACTTCAAAGGAGAATTAGTGCAGAGGACTCAGCGTGACACAAATCCCAGGTTTTTTGCTTGACATCCTCACACAGTCCATGACAAACCATAGAAAACCAGAGGCCTCAGGCAATGAACAGACTATTAGGTGATGGAGGGAATGACTCGGAAAGCAAGATCCTGTCAGTAAAAAGATAGACATTTCTCCAATAGTTATAGTTTTATGTTCCACACCTACTTAAGAGCTACAAGAAGTTCAGAATTTGGGGCTGAAATCAGGTTCAAATCATCTTTCTTTGGTAAAGAGAGAATTAACAGACAACTGACAGGAAAACTCCAGATACATGTTCTGCAAGCACTCTGACAGACTGCATAAATCAAGATACTGATTTCTAGATCACCTTTTAATATTAAGCACAGGCTTCTATCACATAAAGAGACCCACACTTAGAAGTAAAACCTCACATAAGAGGCTGGAGGTTGTTACACTACAGTGCAGTTGTGCACAGCCCTTCAAATGGGGCTGGGAGGGGCAATCCCATCCTAATAAATGTACAGCTGTATGACCAGGCACAGTGCAGGCAGCTGTTTGAAAAGAACAGATCTACCCACACCAGGTCCACCCAGAGATCTTGAAAGCCAGACATTTAAGTGACCTGTTAGGAGACTGCTAGCCTCAAGGAATAATTGGCAACGTATTTCAAGGATCAACTAAACATCTAAAAGCACCATCACTTCAGGTTTTCCAGGGAGGGAAAGTAAGACAAGCTATAGTACAGGATAGCTGATGTCAGTTTAAACGTTTCTCCCATGCCAAAGCAGCACACAGAGCATGTTTAATTGTTCCACTGAATCCATGGCAACGTGATTTGCCCTCTGACACAAAGTAAACCATTAGTAGAGGCCCAACTGGAACCCAGGTCTCGCTCTCCTGGGCTGTGCTCCGAGGCAACAGGGATGTATGAAGCCACCTGGCCTTCCATGTCAAAACCTCTGCCTCTAGCATTTAAAAGTCGCACTTACAGATTACAATATTCCTTTCCTCTCCATATCCATCCTCAAGAAACATCACTGCTGTAGCAAGCACTACAAATTACTACGTGACCAAAATAAGTGCTGATTTGTAACTACCAGTATAGCCTGGACAAGAATGCTTACTTGGACAGCCCTGCTATTTGTAACATCGTGGTTCTAATGTTCATTCACAGGAAGAAAATTTTAGGCTGTAATTGTTTTGAAGGTCTATCTGTCACAGTTGGACTTTGCATCCACTGAATCTTGTGTTGCTACTGTAAAGATAGTAGGAAGAAAGTTATCATCCTACATTGCTTTCCACTTCACGTTTGGGGTTTTTCTTTCAGCTGCCTCCACATCCAAAGAGGTTCCACTCTAAGCACTGCATCTAGTCTCAGAAGTTTCAAACTCACACCTGAGTTCACAAGAACTCAATGCATGACTAATTTGAAACTACAGGAAAACAGGAGGAGAAGTTAAGCTGGGAGAACACCAATTCCAAAGACAACTAACACAGATGCAGGAGTTCTTTGAGAACCAAGCTACTTCCAGCATGGGAATAAGCTTCCCTTAACTCAGCAAAGCTTCTCATGTCCAAGTCTGGAGGACAACAGTTTCCACTTGGCAGACAGCCCCTCCATTCTTATGCTTTGGGTAAGACCCACTTCCCATCCTTGTTGCCGTAACACAGTAGCAAGTTAGAAATGGATGTACTGAATGTGAATGTCAAACAAAACAGTGATCTGTGCAATGCCAACAAACACTGCTGCTTGGAGTCCTTATTACTTGCACATCCCCTACAGAAGTTCAAAGCACTTCAAGCACATGCAAAGATAGACTGCAAGTGTCTTTGGTCTAATAACCAAGATCTGTCAACTGAAGCCAACTAGAAGTCAAAATTTTCATTTTAAAAAAGGAAAGAAAGCAAGCAACATTCCACCAGAACATCTATTCCACAATCTCATTTTGAAGAATGTGAATAATTTTTTTTTTTCCTCTAAATTTCCCTCCACCTTACTCCCCCCCCTCCCCCCCAAGCTTTTTACAGTGCCCAGGGCCTCAGTTTTCTGGCAGAAAAAACGTCCAGCAGTCCTCAGAGCCTCAAAAGCCCATGTCTGAGACAGTCTGCAACCTAGATACCAAGGACTATATCAGGTATTGAGTTTTGAATTATTGTCTAGGTAGAAGACAAAAGATTCCACAACTTTTTTTTTTTTCCCCTTGGAGAAATACAACTTTTATGAGAAGCTAATTTTCAAAAAATTGATAGCAGATTTCTGAACAGCTCAATCATGTCTTCACTTGCTGATTAAGGACAGAAAAAGACAACTGCAGGAACATGGTGTGTGTTGTATCAAGGAGACATGTCAGCTGTACAGTATCACATCAGCATGTGCTGCAACATACCAAAACCTGGAGCTGCAGCAGTAACTTTCAAGGCTCTGGCCTGCTTCTACTTGGCAGATGGTACACAGGAAAAGGGCCAGAAATCACTGGACAAAGCACTCACTGGGAAGGTTGCAAAAGAGAAAGTGAGAATGGCCATGCGGTGCCGTTAACAGTAATCACCTATCCACCATCTTGTGTCCTCCACAGCCTCCTCAGGGCAGAGGGCAGCAAGCTCTGCTGTGACAGACCTGCTGTTGCTTCACATAATTCAAGTGCTTCTAAGATCCCCTGTTTAGATGGCAAAAGGAACACTGAATAACATAAAACACAGTTTATACCAGATCGAATCAGACCCCTGAAAAACAGCTTCACACCCACATAGATCAATGTCAGACTTTAGAGCAAAAAGGATCATTCTTATCCAGCATCACATTAAATCCAGAAAAGCACTGCTATCCCAACCTGAAGCTGCACCCTGCAGGAGGCTCCCCCCAAAGGTCCAGCATTGTGGCTGGGTAACGTTTTCTCACACAGATTTTCCCATCAGAAAGTGAAGCTGTTAGATATTTGCCAACAAAAAACCTCCACCACTCAAGGGAAATTAAAGCACACAAAGATTGCTTCAGCGTGTGATATTTGACCAAGCACTTGAATTTTTATTTCAAAACATCTACCAGTGACTTTTCCCTCCCTTCAATTTTTTATTTCCCCCTCTGCTTTAAACTAGAATGGGAGATTCTCACATGGCAAAGTTCCATTGGACAAAAAAAAAATAAAAAAATCTACCAGTTCTCCCAACATCATTGTTTAAATCAGCTTTAGATGGTTTTATACAACACTTTATAGACTTGGAGAGGGATGTGTTCCCCTGACAAAGCATCAGCTATCCAAACAACTGAAGCATGGGAAAATCATGCAAGAGTGTGAATTGAGGAAGGTCTTTAGTGAGAAGAGATACAGTCCGCGTTCATGTAAGCGTGGTAGCTCTGAACAAAGATCTGCAGGCTAATAGATATGTAAGACAAATGACATGTGGTTCTCATTGCAGCTCATGCTTTGGGAAGGGGGTACCTTGGAACAGATCCAGCTGGGATAGGTTTATCCCATTACTCTCCTATAATTTTCTGCTGTTTCAAACCCTTTGACAGTTACTGTAGTTTAACATCACACCCCCTACAGACTGAGGCCTGTTTGACAGGCCAGCAAACAAAACCACCCCCACTTGGAGATGAAATATGCACCATATGTGAGAACCGTGCAAGGCACAAGGCTAGCGCGCCCACTCTTGTACTTCTGTGACACGCCGATGTAAATCTGCTGTGTAGATGCCTTATCCCAATTCCTAGCCCGAATAAGCAGTGCTAACCTAAGCCCTCCTCCACAGCAGTGTAACCCATGCATACTAGGTATTAGCAAGCGGAGGAGGAAAAGAGGTAGAGACAGGATGGACGAGCCCTGAATATTAAATTCCCAAGTCCCCATTTAAGGGAATTGCAGGGGGAAAAAAAAAAGTGAAATTCAAGAACAACTGGAATCAGGTTAAGCCACTCTCTCGCTTTATACAGTGCGGCTCATTCATCTGAACAGCTGTTTCACCTCTAGAGAAATACCCAGAGAAAACAGAGGGGAGGGGGAGAAGCCTAAATTGTTTGCTCTACTGAAGCAGCAAGATACAGTAAATCACTGGTTTACATTAAGTTTATAAGAAATCGGTTTGGGGAGGGGGGAGAAGAGTGGGAGGTTTGGTTTTATACAGCTATCTGAAAGCTGCCGCTCTTGAATAGAGATCTGTAATTAAAGTCTTTCCTTTGTTGAGCTGAACAAGTTTTTCCTCTCAGCCGAGGACTATAGCAGTTCCCTCTGCCGGCACCACCAGTGTCCCAGTTCAGGAAGTTTTACAGCTCTGGCTGCACGCTGCGCGGGGATACGCTGCCCCGCGGACCCAGCAAAGCCACCTTCCCCTCCCCGACGGGCTGGGGGAGAAAAGAAGGGGAGAGTTTGCGGGTTTCACTTGCCAAAGCTCAGGTCCTCGATCCCCTGGTTGCTCCCTGCCCCAGAGAGGAACACTGCTGTAGGCAGGTAGTGAGCCTCCCCCACCCCATTTAGGAAGGGGGCAGCCCAGCCCAGCTCCCCGAGGGGCAGCAGCGCCTTAAGCCCCTCGCAGCATCCGCGGGGATTGCTGCCCGCGGTTTTGCCGTGCCCTTTGCTCCCCTCGGGAGCCACCGGCGGGGGCCAGCCCCCTCGCCGGGGGGGGGGAA